GATCTTCCCCGTGTTCAAACATTGCTAGTCCGCAATACATCACACGACTGGTTTAGAAAGCATACATGGGAAGATTGGGAGACTTTTAAGCATGCATTCTTGGCTCGATTCGACACGGTTAGCGAAGATGCCGCCTGGTACGTGCTCAAAMATCGACCCCAAGGACCAGRGGAATTGTTACCCGATYTCGTTGATCGATTTCAAACCACATTGGATAAATCYGRSSGAGACGAGAWATCTGCTCGAGATTTGTTTATTGATCACCTTCGAAGTTCGACCTTGAAAGGGAAACTGCAGAAAAAGGTTCCGYCGAAAACAACCCAGTTATCGGCTATCATCACTAAAGCATTGGAGCTAGACTTGGCTGATACAAAAAAATATACCAGCCAGGGAGACAAGGATATTACAGATACCACACGGGATGTAACGGCCAAAAGGCGATCATGGCTACAGGCGGTCGAACGGTTCTNAAACAAGGCACCCAGGGACCAACGTTGTGTTGAATTGATCAGACCCGTAGCCATATGCGTGATCAAGCTGATCTGTGTTTGCTCTCTCTCTCTCTTGTGTCAAAAAGATTGATTGGGACGCGCTTTTTTCTTTTGTTCTTAATGACGTCTCAGGATATTTTGTGATTGATTGACATGGGGACTAACAAGCACCCTTCGATTGAGCGCCAGCCTCCCGTATCTCCCATCCCAACACGACCTTTTCCTTACAGTGAGGAAAGGACACGTGTATGTGAGTGGGACGTACGAGAAGCCGTTGCGCAAATCAGCGGCCAATATTACTTCCCTCTGGCCAACCGCTGTTCTGGGTTCGTAGAAGCCGGGTTCGTTATTATCGATACGCACTTCCCACCTTACTCGGTATTGTTGCCATTTAACGAGTTGATCGTCATTCTGTGGACGGCAGTAAAACCCCACTGGCCGTGCACTCTGCGCACCGAGTGTCAGCGTTTTGAGCGCTACGAGTCCAGGGGTTTCCACTACCGTGTGCGGAGTGAAGACAAGCATAAAGAAAGAGCCACGCAACTAAGACCCTCCACGTCAGACTCAGAATTAACCAGCGAACGACGACGAGACTTGATACGAAAACGGGATACGCGAAGTGTGCCCAAGCCTTTTTGTTCTAAACGACGGACTGTAGCCCGGTGGGAGGCACGACAATACTTTTTGGATTGAATTTGGATATTTCCCTCTCTTCCCGCCTTGCCCACGCGCGCATTCCACGACGCGCGAAAACAATCGACTCGCTCCATCGGACCAACACGGGGGATTTCAGTGCCGTCTGTGTCCCCACACTCAATTTCCAAAAATCCTTGGCACACCCCATCTTGCTGTTTTTCTGGGCCTCTTTTCCACACAGCTTACACTCCGAACGGAAGACAGCACAGGGCGTGAGGTTGGTATCGGAGCCGAGTTGTGTCGGTTCTGATGATAGTAAGTCGAACTGGCAAAAGGTAGGAGAGACCCTTAACTAGCTCGTCGAGATCGCCCCGTAACCAGGTCTTAGTCTAGTGTGGCTGCACCAGCAATATCAATGGTGGACGGTACTAGGGTGATTGTTAGCATCCCTGCCCCTTCTCCCTTCTTCCCTAACCATACCCATCCCGAGGCTTGGCTGGAAGCGGTCGAAGCTCAAAACTACAGCGCGACCGATCTTCCCCGTGTTCTGACATTGCTAGTCCGCAATACATCGCACAACTGGTTCAGAAAGCATACATGGGAAGATTGGGAGACTTTTAAGCATGCATTCTTGGCTCGATTCGACACGGTTAGCGAAGATGCCGCCTGGTACGTGCTCAAACATCGACCCCAAGGACCAGGGGAATTGTTACCCGATTTCGTTGATCGATTTCAAACCACATTGGATAAATCYGRSSGAGACGAGAWATCTGCTCGAGATTTGTTTATTGATCACCTTCGAAGTTCGACCTTGAAAGGGAAACTGCAGAAAAAGGTTCCGYCGAAAACAACCCAGTTATCGGCTATCATCACTAAAGCATTGGAGCTAGACTTGGCTGATACAAAAAAATATACCAGCCAGGGAGACAAGGATATTACAGATACCACACGGGATGTAACGGCCAAAAGGCGATCATGGCTACAGGCGGTCGAACGGTTCTRWCCCCGCCCYGACCATGACCTTCCTGGCGGAATCGTCTCCGATATCCCGRCTGCTTCTCCTCCCTCTCCCCCRGTGAATCAATCAATCGCAGCCGTTAGAAGCGGAACCCCATCCGAACCCCCCCTGGCCAGCCATAACCAATTTGCATCTTGCCCAGATGATCCATACGGCCACTACTAAGCAGTCTGAATGGATGAGTACCCTGATCCAAATGCAGGCGGCTCACATGGAACGGATGGAACAGATAATGAGCTGACTGATTAAGCCTAACCCGGCTCCCGCCCGACCTACCCCTGCATCATCTCCGCTCTTACCTGCTCCACCTGCTCCAGGATTCGCCCCTCAGTTTCCCCATCTAGCTAATCCGGCAGGAAAGATCGAATGTTTCACGTGCAAACAGCCCGGGCATTTCGCCCGAGACTGTCTGCAGCCGAAACGTAATCAGCCTCCCCCTGCTGCGGCCCTCGTCTCCCTTAATCAAGGACGAATGGCCGCTTTGATGGACCCGAACCCGGGAAGAGAACTCGTGGCATACGTCCCGGAGCAGCCTTCCCCTTCGACGACAATGGCGTCGACATCAGGAGCTTCTTCCTCTGACGCTGCTGACATGGTCGATCCCCTCGAGTATCTCCATCTTGCCGGAATGATCGGAGCGATCCGATCGGCCCAAGATGATCTCGAATGGGTCGATCGCGAGTCCAATCCTGGACCACAGTTTCGGACAGGGGATATTGATGTACTGAAAACGCTCAAGCAATTAGATATTCGCGTTCCTATCCCTGTAGGACATCTGCTTACCATATCTGAAGCAACGAATGATAAACTTTTACAACATTGTCAGAAAAATCAAAAGCGGTTCACCTATCAGCGCATACAACGGATGTTGAAGAAGAAGGAAGATGGTGAGGAGGTTGCACCTCTCGAGCCAGATACAAAAGAACCTCAACCCAAAGCCGCACATATAGCAGCGATCTCTTTAGCAGAAAAGGATCACTTCGTACGAGCTCGACCGGTACTATGGAAAAGCGCAGAATGTGACTGTGAAGTTTGGGGTAAGTCGTTTAACGCCCTTATCGACACAAGATCTTCTGCAGTGGCCATATGGTTAGATACTGTCAAAAAGACGGGACGACTTGGATCCATTCTTCCTCAATCTGGCAAAGACAACTATGTATTGGCCGACGAGGAAGCAATGAACATCGTAGGTATTATCGAGAACGTAGCTGTAAAAGTTGGACGAGTACACGTCCTTGTTAACGCGCTCGTAATAGATGTACGCTCCTACTCTATATTGTTGGGATTACCTTGGGCGATGGCGGTGGGCGCACGTCTGCATTTCGATTCGAAGCAACTGGTGCTCACGCAAACTGGGGAAAGCAACTGGTGCTCACGCATTTCGATACGTTGATCCCGAGGAGTGCTCCCTCTCGAACCTCGGGGATGAAATCAGGGAACGAGAATGCGAAGAAGAGATGCCCAGTAAAGAGGAATGAAAGCATCTGGTTGAACTTTTCGAACATGAAACCCCCGAAGAATTTTGAGTGTGCCCCGATACCGCTCGAAGCGTCCACGTGGATTCTGAAGACAGTGCATTCACGCCTCGAACAACCCAGGTCAGTCCTTCAGTTCTCCTCGGGGAACCCATATTACAAGTTTTCGATCTTGCGGATGATTTGGAACCCCCTCGCACATTGTACGAGGGAGCTATCTCCTTACGAACACGTTATCAGCAAATGGAACAATATTTAGACGTTTCTGTTTTTCCACCTCGATCGTTACTGAGGACAGGAGCCACCATTGCCTTTATTAAACAAGAAGCGGAAGTACCAGTAAATGATGTACTTAATCTGATGCGAGAAACGACGGATCTAACAGGGCTAACTGTGGAACCGACCTCGGTTGGTTCAGAAACTGACGCTGAAACTAAAGAAACAGAAATGATTAGCCCTGCTGAGTCGCAGATGGTAGCAACTGTCTTCTCTGTGCGCACAAGTAGTTTCGTTTTCTCTAGTGTCAATGAGCGGCGGGAACGGCCGGTTGGTTGGATCGATATGCCCCTTAATATGTCCGGGGAATCGACGATCCCCCTCCCCAGTCACGTTCCCGCAGAACTTCGGAAGTCATTGAACTGTGTATTGAATGGTTATGTAGATGTATTGAGCGTGCACGATAATGACATCGACTTGACGAATGTGATCGAGCATGCTATTCTCACGGGAGACCACCCACCCATTAGTTGTGTTCCTTACCGATATTCGCCAGCTCAACGATCGGCCGCCTTTTAGCGAATTAAGGAGTTCGAAGCTAATGGATGGATCGAACCCGCTATAGGACCTCGGTCTTTTCCTGTAGTGATAGTACCCAAGAAGTTTGGGGGGATTCACATTTGCATTGATTATCGAAAACTGAATGATATCACAATTAAAGATGTGTATCCCCTCCCCCGGATTGATGGGTTATTGGATGCGATTGGGAGTGCTCGATTTTTCAGCAAGTTTGATGTTCGTCATGGGTTCCATCTTCTTGTCCGGGAGGAAGATCGACCGAAAACAGCATATGTGCTTTTCGAAGGTACATGGCAATGGATTCGATGTCCGATGGGTATCTGCAACGCCCCTGCGACTTTCCAGCGGGCCATGAACATGGCTTTTCAAAACTTTGTACGGAAGACTTGTTTGGTGCAGAGCATCATCAACTACTGCGTGATTGTGTACATGGATGACATCCTAGTGTATTCGAGTTCCTACGAGGGACATGTGTAGCACATCGAATGGGCACTACATGCGTTACGAGATAAATGTTCCAAGGTGGCGCTTGAGAAGTGTCAGTTTTTCCTCACCTCCATTTCCTTCCTGGGCACGTGGTGACAGACAAGGGACTCCAACCGGAGCCGCAGAAGGTGGCAGCTATCAGGGACGCGCCAGTGCCTACCACTATCACGCAAGTTCGCGCCTTTCTGGGCCTAGCCTCGTACTACCGAAGATTTATCAAGGGCTTTGCGGCGATTGCGGGACCCCTCACGAATCTCCTGCGCAAGGATCAATCTTTGATCTGGACACCGGAGTGCGATCAAGCATTTTCCAAACTCAAGGCTGCTCTCATTTCGGCTCCGGTCCTTATAAGACCGGATCCCGAAAAACCTTTTGTTCTCATCACAAACTGGCAATCAGAGGCGATCTCGACGATCCTTGCCCAGGTGGGACCGAGCGGACTCAAGAGTGTAGTGGAGTATGCGTCTAAATCAGTGCCCCCCTGCAAGGACAATTACGCCGCTCCAACGGGTGAATGCTATGCGGCTCTCTGGGGAATCAGTCACTTCCGTGCTTACCTGTACGGGCGAAAATTCACCTTCGTGACTGATCATGAGCCCCTGTTCGCTCTGAAGAAGTCGAAGGATTACTCGGGCATGATCGGGCGATGGGCAACGGTGCTGCAGAGCATGGACTTTGACATTCGTCATCGAAAGCACGAGAGACATGGAAATATGGACGGACTGACACGACTGCACCGGCCTGAGAAAGTTCCGAGGAATGAGGAGGTGATTCCGTGGAACGGACCCGAGCAGAAGATTGGACCTTGGTACGGCCAAGTGGAGATTTTGTCAAAGCAGTAAGTGAGACGAGGATTAACTTGCCTGCTCTTCTCTCTCCACAATTCAGTCCCTTCTCTCCCCTTTTGTCGTCATGACTACCCCGTCTGCCTCCACAACCCCTTCTTCTCCTACTAATTCTGCCCCTCTTACTTCCTCAACTTTCTTCAACACCCTCCCCGATAAATTCTGCTATTTTTGCACCTGTATTGCACGGGTTTACGGGGTCGACTGTCATCCTTTCGAGACCCGATTTGTCGATTGGGTGGAATGTGCCACGTGTGTCAATCGTGCGCACAGATCCTGCTTTCGATATCGAACGAGTAGCAAGGAATGGAGGTGCCCCCTGTGTAGAACGAACAAGCTCCCCACGGAGGTTCGATTCGAGGCCGCCCGTACGGACGGTCCTGAATACGACGAAAAATACCGACGGGCGGAAGTCTGGACGGATAAAATTTTATTGGCGAAATTAGCGGGATTATCATTGGGCCATCTCACCAAACATGACAGACGTAGGGCGACCGAGAGATCTCGGGACTACCGATGGATGAACGGTCATTTGGAAAAGCGTAAAACTGACAGATTGGGTTCATGGCTGACAGTTCCCCATCCCTTCCAGAGATACGATTGGATCCGATCTGCTCACGAGGAACAGGCCGCTCATTTCGCGATACGTGTCACAGAGGCAACTGTAGACCAGAATCGATGGTTCTGGTCCAATATACGAGGTGATGTCAAATACATTGTCGCTACCTGTCTGGTCTGTGCCGCAGATCGCGCCCCTATACAAGGACCAAACACGATCGTACCAACGGAAGTAGAGCGTCCTTTCCAGCGAGTTAGTATGGACACGACAGATATTGACGTGTCACCTGGCCCAAACCGTTGTGAATATTCTATCTTGTTGGTTTTAATTGACCATTTTTCCGAATACATCGAAGTCTATCCCTGTAAGACCCGAAAGGCCGCAGAAATAGCCACGTACATCGAACGATTCCTGAGTACCCATCTTGATACAGAAGAAATTCTAACTGACAATGGGTCGGAATTCAAAGGCGAGGTAGAAGAACTGCTTGCGCAAAGGGGCGTCGCACTCTGACATAGGGCACCCCACGTGTCCCAGTCGAACGGGTTGGCCGAGAATGCAAACCGTATGATTAAAACTGCCCTTCGCAGGAACTTAGCGGCACACGACACGCGTCCGTGGTCCGAGATTGTATAGCAGATCGTCGGCATCCACCGGGCCACTCCTCACGAGTCTACGGGGTTCACCCCCTTTCAGCTTTGAACTAATAGCCTCCCCTATGTCGATTACCGGGGTAACTCGGAAATCGCCGAAGCAGGGGGTAGAGACACGCGTGCAGCCCTCAAGGCCAAAGCCAAAAGGTACACCGATTTGATGGAACGGGCCGTCCCGAAGCTAGCCCGGAAAAGGCAAAGGATGACCGAGCTGGCCCACGGTAGACAGGTCCGCAGCTACGAGGCCCGGAACGAAAATGCTAGGCCCCAGTACGTGTATAAACTGGGGGACTTAGTACAGGTACGTAAATGTGCACGCGATCGGAAACTCGCTCCCAAGTTCTCTGGCTGTTTTCGCGTCGTTGAACTCGGACCCAACGGCGCTAACACGGTGCGCATCGCGCCTGAGGCTAGCGGCAGCCATACCTCTGTCCCCATGGTCAGACATACCTCCTACCTCCGTCTTCTTCCTCCTTCTGATCGTCCTCTCTCTTCTTCCTCGGAAAGCGAGGAGAACGACGACGATCTAACTTTCTCCCATTTTTCTCCCTCTTGTCCCTCGTCCTCGTCTCCGACCTCGCCATGAGTTTCATCACGGAGCGGGTTCTCGACGCACTGCTGGGGCAGCCACGTGGCCACAACTCAGAGATCCGGCAAGTTTGTCACCCTCGGCTCAATACGGATCTCCGTCGTTTAATGCGATTCTTCTGCGACGAAGGTATCTGTGCCGCCGCCGCGTTTCGAATAGAAGGAAGCCCTCACGCAGTTCATCGGCGAGCGGGTCCTAGAACGAGCCACGTCACCACAGTGGCGGGATTCACCGGCGACCTCAGCTCGGTCAATCCGTTGTGGCATACTGCGATCTTGGCCTCGCTGCACGAGTGGACGGAGCAAGTGTCCAACGTGTGGCAGCACGTCCTCGCCCGGGAGGGGTATAACATCATCCCGATTTTTGCATCGGATCTTGACGATATTCGCCGATCACCACGCGAGCGTCCAGTTGCGATCCCGACAATCGTCCCCTTCCCCCGTTCCCAATGAACCACGCTGCTCGTCTCGCTACTCTCTCTACCTTTGGTCTCCCCTCTCTCTTCCCCACCTTCAGGCAATCCGATCTCCACCCTTCTCTTTCCTTCTCGTTCGAGCCTCTTTCAGTCTCTCTTATCCATCCTGGACATTGACGATTGTGGCGCGAAACTTTTGAGGAGCTGTCCTTTTGCTTGGCCAGAGTACAAGTGAAGCGGATGGGCACTATCGAGCACCCCACGTGGATCGAGAATCCGGAGCTSCTGATCATACAGGGTTGGAGGACTAACGCGGAAGGAGATCTTATTGGATTCCTCKTTGGATCGGTACGACCGGGTCGCCGTCAGTTGATTGCACAGGAGCTCATCTTACCGATCGTGCAATTGGCGGATGATCTCTCGCCCGACATCTACTTTCAGAGCGACAACAGTCCTGCTCCGTACATTTTCGAGCGATCCTTGGATCCGTACCTTCAGTGCACTTCGTGCTTGGAGGAACCTAGGGACGAGGATACCCTACCATCGTGGCAGGAGTATCTGAAGCCGTACGAGATCATCCCTTACGCCTTCTATCCGAGCGCAGAGGAAGTGGTGATCAACGACGACGACGGAGAAGAAGACAACGACGAGGAAACATTGGAGGAGGGAAGCTATAGTGAACATAGCGAGGGCGAGCTGAGTGAGGAGGAAAAGGAAGAAGAAGGAACCGGACCCAAGTGGCAAGCCCCACCGGAGGAAGCGACGCGTACGGGAACGGAGGCGGAAGATCCGGAAGCGGCGCGAAGGAGCGAAGAGATTGCCCCCGGAAAGCGCCGGCTGGAGTTCGCTAGCGAGGCTAGCCTGTGCATCGGTAGCGCTCCGATCAAGGATCCAGAGCCGCCGAGGCCCGAAGATGGCGGCCCTGCAGCCGCCACCTCAAGTACCGCGCGACGGAGACGGCGCCGATCCCCCCCCTCCTCCAGCCCCACCCGTCCCCCAGTTCGCCCATGTACCAATGCGGGCGATAGGCCTTCGACCTCAGACGCTGCCCCGCCGACCCCTTGATTTTCTCACCCTCGAACAGATCCCTACCCCCGTCACCTTCCTTTCCCATCCTTTCCATCCCCACCTCTTCCGCGACTTCTATTCTACCCGTCTACTCGCCACCGTCCATCCTCACCCCTCCCTTCAGTCCGCTGCTCCCACATTCTGCTGGCATCTCCTGGTGTTCAGCGCTGCATGGGAGCGATCCAACGTCGTAGAAGTGTACTACGTTGCCACGGGGACATTTACCTCGCTTCCCTCCCCCGAAGTGGCGATCATTTCCCCCGCTTCCACCGGATCATCCGATATGAGGAGCTCCCGGTGACGATGGAAGGAATGAATCGCTTCCTACCACCACTCCCCCCCCGTCATCCCCGCGAGATCCCCGGTATGTACCGCCTCTACTGGCCTATTCCAACTAGGNCCTGATCCAAATGCAGGCGGCTCACATGGAACGGATGGAACAGATAATGAGCTGACTGATTAAGCCTAACCCGGCTCCCGCCCGACCTACCCCTGCATCATCTCCGCTCTTACCTGCTCCACCTGCTCCAGGATTCGCCCCTCAGTTTCCCCATCTAGCTAATCCGGCAGGAAAGATCGAATGTTTCACGTGCAAACAGCCCGGGCATTTCGCCCGAGACTGTCTGCAGCCGAAACGTAATCAGCCTCCCCCTGCTGCGGCCCTCGTCTCCCTTAATCAAGGACGAATGGCCGCTTTGATGGACCCGAACCCGGGAAGAGAACTCGTGGCATACGTCCCGGAGCAGCCTTCCCCTTCGACGACAATGGCGTCGACATCAGGAGCTTCTTCCTCTGACGCTGCTGACATGGTCGATCCCCTCGAGTATCTCCATCTTGCCGGAATGATCGGAGCGATCCGATCGGCCCAAGATGATCTCGAATGGGTCGATCGCGAGTCCAATCCTGGACCACAGTTTCGGACAGGGGATATTGATGTACTGAAAACGCTCAAGCAATTAGATATTCGCGTTCCTATCCCTGTAGGACATCTGCTTACCATATCTGAAGCAACGAATGATAAACTTTTACAACATTGTCAGAAAAATCAAAAGCGGTTCACCTATCAGCGCATACAACGGATGTTGAAGAAGAAGGAAGATGGTGAGGAGGTTGCACCTCTCGAGCCAGATACAAAAGAACCTCAACCCAAAGCCGCACATATAGCAGCGATCTCTTTAGCAGAAAAGGATCACTTCGTACGAGCTCGACCGGTACTATGGAAAAGCGCAGAATGTGACTGTGAAGTTTGGGGTAAGTCGTTTAACGCCCTTATCGACACAAGATCTTCTGCAGTGGCCATATGGTTAGATACTGTCAAAAAGACGGGACGACTTGGATCCATTCTTCCTCAATCTGGCAAAGACAACTATGTATTGGCCGACGAGGAAGCAATGAACATCGTAGGTATTATCGAGAACGTAGCTGTAAAAGTTGGACGAGTACACGTCCTTGTTAACGCGCTCGTAATAGATGTACGCTCCTACTCTATATTGTTGGGATTACCTTGGGCGATGGCGGTGGGCGCACGTCTGCATTTCGATTCGAAGCAACTGGTGCTCACGCAAACTGGGGAAAGCAACTGGTGCTCACGCATTTCGATACGTTGATCCCGAGGAGTGCTCCCTCTCGAACCTCGGGGATGAAATCAGGGAACGAGAATGCGAAGAAGAGATGCCCAGTAAAGAGGAATGAAAGCATCTGGTTGAACTTTTCGAACATGAAACCCCCGAAGAATTTTGAGTGTGCCCCGATACCGCTCGAAGCGTCCACGTGGATTCTGAAGACAGTGCATTCACGCCTCGAACAACCCAGGTCAGTCCTTCAGTTCTCCTCGGGGAACCCATATTACAAGTTTTCGATCTTGCGGATGATTTGGAACCCCCTCGCACATTGTACGAGGGAGCTATCTCCTTACGAACACGTTATCAGCAAATGGAACAATATTTAGACGTTTCTGTTTTTCCACCTCGATCGTTACTGAGGACAGGAGCCACCATTGCCTTTATTAAACAAGAAGCGGAAGTACCAGTAAATGATGTACTTAATCTGATGCGAGAAACGACGGATCTAACAGGGCTAACTGTGGAACCGACCTCGGTTGGTTCAGAAACTGACGCTGAAACTAAAGAAACAGAAATGATTAGCCCTGCTGAGTCGCAGATGGTAGCAACTGTCTTCTCTGTGCGCACAAGTAGTTTCGTTTTCTCTAGTGTCAATGAGCGGCGGGAACGGCCGGTTGGTTGGATCGATATGCCCCTTAATATGTCCGGGGAATCGACGATCCCCCTCCCCAGTCACGTTCCCGCAGAACTTCGGAAGTCATTGAACTGTGTATTGAATGGTTATGTAGATGTATTGAGCGTGCACGATAATGACATCGACTTGACGAATGTGATCGAGCATGCTATTCTCACGGGAGACCACCCACCCATTAGTTGTGTTCCTTACCGATATTCGCCAGCTCAACGATCGGCCGCCTTTTAGCGAATTAAGGAGTTCGAAGCTAATGGATGGATCGAACCCGCTATAGGACCTCGGTCTTTTCCTGTAGTGATAGTACCCAAGAAGTTTGGGGGGATTCACATTTGCATTGATTATCGAAAACTGAATGATATCACAATTAAAGATGTGTATCCCCTCCCCCGGATTGATGGGTTATTGGATGCGATTGGGAGTGCTCGATTTTTCAGCAAGTTTGATGTTCGTCATGGGTTCCATCTTCTTGTCCGGGAGGAAGATCGACCGAAAACAGCATATGTGCTTTTCGAAGGTACATGGCAATGGATTCGATGTCCGATGGGTATCTGCAACGCCCCTGCGACTTTCCAGCGGGCCATGAACATGGCTTTTCAAAACTTTGTACGGAAGACTTGTTTGGTGCAGAGCATCATCAACTACTGCGTGATTGTGTACATGGATGACATCCTAGTGTATTCGAGTTCCTACGAGGGACATGTGTAGCACATCGAATGGGCACTACATGCGTTACGAGATAAATGTTCCAAGGTGGCGCTTGAGAAGTGTCAGTTTTTCCTCACCTCCATTTCCTTCCTGGGCACGTGGTGACAGACAAGGGACTCCAACCGGAGCCGCAGAAGGTGGCAGCTATCAGGGACGCGCCAGTGCCTACCACTATCACGCAAGTTCGCGCCTTTCTGGGCCTAGCCTCGTACTACCGAAGATTTATCAAGGGCTTTGCGGCGATTGCGGGACCCCTCACGAATCTCCTGCGCAAGGATCAATCTTTGATCTGGACACCGGAGTGCGATCAAGCATTTTCCAAACTCAAGGCTGCTCTCATTTCGGCTCCGGTCCTTATAAGACCGGATCCCGAAAAACCTTTTGTTCTCATCACAAACTGGCAATCAGAGGCGATCTCGACGATCCTTGCCCAGGTGGGACCGAGCGGACTCAAGAGTGTAGTGGAGTATGCGTCTAAATCAGTGCCCCCCTGCAAGGACAATTACGCCGCTCCAACGGGTGAATGCTATGCGGCTCTCTGGGGAATCAGTCACTTCCGTGCTTACCTGTACGGGCGAAAATTCACCTTCGTGACTGATCATGAGCCCCTGTTCGCTCTGAAGAAGTCGAAGGATTACTCGGGCATGATCGGGCGATGGGCAACGGTGCTGCAGAGCATGGACTTTGACATTCGTCATCGAAAGCACGAGAGACATGGAAATATGGACGGACTGACACGACTGCACCGGCCTGAGAAAGTTCCGAGGAATGAGGAGGTGATTCCGTGGAACGGACCCGAGCAGAAGATTGGACCTTGGTACGGCCAAGTGGAGATTTTGTCAAAGCAGTAAGTGAGACGAGGATTAACTTGCCTGCTCTTCTCTCTCCACAATTCAGTCCCTTCTCTCCCCTTTTGTCGTCATGACTACCCCGTCTGCCTCCACAACCCCTTCTTCTCCTACTAATTCTGCCCCTCTTACTTCCTCAACTTTCTTCAACACCCTCCCCGATAAATTCTGCTATTTTTGCACCTGTATTGCACGGGTTTACGGGGTCGACTGTCATCCTTTCGAGACCCGATTTGTCGATTGGGTGGAATGTGCCACGTGTGTCAATCGTGCGCACAGATCCTGCTTTCGATATCGAACGAGTAGCAAGGAATGGAGGTGCCCCCTGTGTAAAACGAACAAGCTCCCCACGGAGGTTCGATTCGAGGCCGCCCGTACGGACGGTCCTGAATACGACGAAAAATACCGACGGGCGGAAGTCTGGACGGATAAAATTTTACTGGCAAAATTAGCGGGATTATAATTGGGCGATCTCACCAAACATGACAGACGTAGGGCGACCGAGAGATCTCGGGACTACCGATGGATCAACGGTCATTTGGAAAAGCGTAAAACTGACAGATCGGGTTCATGGCTGACAGTTCGCCATCCCTTCCAGAGATATGATTGGATCCGATCTGCTCACGAGGAACAGGCCGCTCATTTCGCGATACGTGTCACGGAGGCAACTGTAGACCAGAATCGATGGTTCTGGTCCAATATACGAGGTGATGTCAAAGACATTGTCGCTAACTGTCCGGTCTGTGCCGCAAATCGCACCCCTATACAAGGACCAAACACGATCGTTCCAACGGAAGTAGAGCGTCCTTTCCAGCGAGTTAGTATGGACACGACAGATATTGACGTGCCACCTGGCCCAAACCGCTGTGAATATTCTATCCTGTTGGTTTTAGTTGACTATTTTTCCAAATACATCGAAGTCTATCCCTGTACGACCCGAAAGGTCGCAGATATAGCCACGTACATCGAACGATTCCTCTATACCCATCTAGATACAGAAGAAATTCTAACTGACAATGGGTCGGAATTCAAAGGCGAGGCAGAAGAACTGCTTGCGCAAAGGGGCGCCGCGCTCCTACATACGGCACCCCACGTGTCGCAGTCGAACGGGTTGGCCGAGAATGCAAACCGTATGATTAAAACCGCCCTTCGCAGGAACTTAGCGGCACACGACACGCGTCCGTGGCCCGAGATCGTATATCAGATCGTCGGCATCCACCGGGCCACTCCTCACGAGTCTACGGGGTTCACCCCCTTTCAACTTTGAACTAATAGCCTCCCCTATGTCGATTACCGGGGTAACATCGCCGAAGCAGGGGGTAGAGACACGCGTGCAGCCCTCAAGGCCAAAGCCAAAAGGTACACCGATTTGATGGAACGGGCCGTCCCGAAGCTAGCTCGGAAAAGGCAAAGGATGACCGAGCTGGCCCACGGTAGACAGGTCCGTAGCTACGAGGCCCGAAACGGAAATGTTGGGCCCAATACCAATATAAATTGGGGGACCTAGTGCAGGTACGTAAATGTGCACGTGACCGGAAACTCGCTCCCAAGTTCTCTGGCTGTTTTCGCGTCGTCGAACTCGGACCCAACGGCGCTAACACGGTGCGCATCGCGCCTGAGGCTAGCGCCAGCCATAGCTCTGTCCCCATCGTCAGACATACCTCCTACCTCCGTCTTCTTCCTCCTTCTGATCGTCCTCTCTCTTCTTCCTCGAAAAGCGAGGAGAACGACGATGATCTAACTTTCTCTCGTCTTTCTCCCTCTTGTCCCTCGTCCTCCTCTCCGACCTCGCCATGAGTTTCATCACGGAGCGGGTTCTCGACGCACAGCTGCGGCAGCCACGTGGCCATATCTCAGAGATCCGGCAAGTTTATCACCCTCGGCTCAATACGGATCTCCGCCGTTTGATGCGATTCTTCTGCGACGAGGGTATCTTTGCCGCCGCCGTGTTTCGAATAGAAGGAAGCCCTCACGCGATAGTGTTCGCGGAGGTTACTGCAGTTCATGGGCGAGCGGGTCCCAGAACGAGCCACGTCACCACAGTGGCGGGATTCACCGGCGACGTCAGCTCGGTCAATCCGCTGCGGCATACCGCGATCTTGGCCTCGCTGCGCGAGTGGACGGAGCAAGTGTCCAACGTGTGGCAGCACGTCCTTGCCCGGGAGGGGTATAACATCATCCCGATCTTTGCATCGGATCTTGAAGGTATTCGCCGATCACCGCGCGAGCGGCCTGTTGCGATCCCGACCATTGTCCCCTTCCCCCGTCCCCAATGAACCACGCTGCTCGTCTCGCTACTCTCTCTACCTTTGGTCTCCCCTCTCTCTTCCCCACCTTCTGGCAATCCGATTTTCACCCTTCTCTTTCCTTCTCGTTCGAGCCTCTTTCAGTCCCTCTTATCCATCCTAGACATTGACGATTGTGGCGCGAAACTTTTGAGGAGCTGTCCTTTTGCTTGGCCAGAGTACAAGTGAAGTGGACGGGCACTATCGAGCACCCCACGTGGATCGAGAATCCGGAGCTGGTGATCAAACAAGGTTGGAGGACTAACGCGGAAGGAGATCTTATTGGATTCCTCTTTGGATCGGTACGACCGGGTCGCCGTCAGTTGATTGCACAGGAGCTCATCGCATCGATCATGCAATTGGCCGACGATCTCTCGCCTGACATCCACTTTTAGAGCGACAACAGTCCTGCTCCGTACATTTTCGAGCGATCCTTGGATCCGTACCTTCAGTGGACTTCATGCTTGGAGGAACCTAGGGACGAGGATACCCTACCATCGTGGCAAGAGTATCTGAAGCCGTACGAGATCATCCCTTACGCCTTCTATCCGAGCGCAGAGGAAGTGGTGATCAACGATGACGACGGAGAAGAAGACAATGACGAGGAAACATTGGAGGAGGGAAGCTATAGTGAACATAGCGAGGGCGAGCTGAGTGAGGAGGAAAAGGAAGAAGAAGGAACCGGACCCGAGTGGCAAGCCCCACCGGAGGAAGCGACGCGTACGGGAACGGAGGCGGAAGATCCGGAAGCGGCGCGAAGGAGCGAAGAGATTGCCTCCGGAAAGCGCCAGCTGGAGTTCGCTAGCAAGGCTAGCCTGTGCATCGGTAGCGCTCCGATCAGGGATCCAGAGCCGCCGAGGCCCGAAGATGGCGGCCCTGCAGCCGCCACCTCAAGTACCGCGCGACGGAGACGGCGCCGATCCTCCCCCTCCTCCAGCCCCACCCGTCCCCCAGTTCGCCCACGTACCAATGCGGGCGATAGGCCTTCGACCTCGGACGCTGCCCCGCCGACCCCTTGATTTTCTCACCCTCGAACAGATCCGTACCCCCGTCACCTTCCCTTCCCGTCCTTTCCATCCCTACCTCTTTCGCGACTTCTATTCTACCCGTCTACACGCCACCGTCCATCCTCACCCCTCCCCTCAATCCGCTGCTCCCACATTCTGCTGGCATCTCCTGCTGTTCAGCGCTGCATGGGAGCGATCCAACGTCATAGAAGTCTACTGCGTTGCCACGGGGACCATCCCTGTCTATCGCCACTTCGAGATCTTTCGAGCGACACTTTTCCGCACCCTCTCCTCCTTCTATCGCGATTACCTCGCTTACCTCCCCCGCAGTGGCGATCATTTCCCCCGCTTCCACCGGATCATCCGATATGAGGAGCTCCCGGTGACGATGGAAGGAATGAATCGCTTCCT